AGCAAGCATGGGAAGAAGAAGAAGAATGCATACAGAACTATGGTGGAAAAACCAGAAGACCACTATGAATGCCTAGACATAAGTGGGATGATAATATTAGAATGAATCTTAGAGAAATACGATGGTGTGTAATTGATTGGATTGAGTTGCTGTCGGGACCAGTAGCGAGCTCTTCTCAACAAGAAAATGAACCTTCAGTTTATGAAGTAACATCCTGCATGCAAATGAATGTCACAAGGATGTAAGAAATATATTACTGAAGTTCGGCTGAGACAGCTGAGTACTGGGGGGGGGGGTGAGTCCCTGCTTGGCCGTGCTGTTCGCCTGGATTCTAGTGCAAGATAAGCTCTGCTTGTGCTTAATTAAGCATTCCACTTTAAATATGCACGGGCAATGGAGATATTGCTCCACGCATTCTTATCCTCCGCACGTGACGGGCGATATACTCCGGGGGCCCATTCAATCCGGTGGTGGGTGCTGTCCAGAAGGAAGGAGGGGGCAGATAACTCGCAGCCGGGGGAGGTTTACACTGTTGTGAAAGGGTGGAAATAACTGCATGGGGTAAACATACTGCAATGTATTTAGATTGTAGTCTTCTTGGTTACTACATCTTTTAGTCGAATCGGTTTCGGAGGACAATTCTGACTGTTTCTCAGGGCGAATATTCCAATACTGACAAACCTTCTGGTTTTACAGGTTTGGCTGTTACTCGCCCTCACAGCATTAGCCAGTAACATTGAAGTTGAAGCGGTCCCGGATCATGATACGGACGTTGCGGGAGGTAAACAGCACAGTGGTAATAATGGTGGTCATGATCATATTTCCGGCGATAAACAGGGCCACAGTCACAAGAAGGAGCTGTCTAAGGACCAGAAAATCATTTTACAGAAAACATTGAATTATTTACAGCTGGCTAATTTGCTGTTGATGTCAGGTGAGTTTACGTTCATACTGACAGCTGTGTATATGAACTCGAAATCTATAGCTATTACGACGGAAGAAGATCTGCGGGAAATAATACAGCTGTACGAGGATTACGCGATGAAAGCGGAAAGTGAGCCACCAAACCGAGGTATGAGCAAGTATGAGCAAGTTCTAATGCTCTATGTACAGGCGTATGTAAAACGCAACAAAGAATGGCGTCGGGGTCGCATTTACACGGGTGGAAGTACAGTTCCAGTACTTGCAGCATCGGACAGGTTGAAGGGGTCTTCGAGAGATAGTCCTACCTCCACAACAGCGGAATTGCTAAAAGTAACAAAAGAATATTCAAGAAAAAGAGCCTTCGTAGACCGGACACAATAATTAACGAGAATCCATCATTCATCGACACATACAAACTTCAGAAAATGCTGGATTTCTTGAAGACACAAGAGACTACTCCCACGGGGTCATTTACGCTTAGTATATACCGAATATCTATACAGTATATTCTGTGGAATCTGGCCAAGAACGGAAAAACTGTCAACAGTTTAAAGTCAGATGAAATGTGATTACATCCGCCAGACTAAAATATTTAATGCACTGCCTGAGAAGGAGAAAGCGTTCCTGCGGGACATTCTGAACTATCTGAAATTCCTGGGGGATGGGGCGAGAGGTGAAGTGACGTTCAAAAGCCACACACTCTCAATAGATTTCATAATGACTGTCGTACATTTGCAAGGCGTAGACATATATTCACTGACGGTGGTAGATCTGTTGGAAGTAATGAAGATGTATGAAGTTCATGAGAAGAAACTGGGAAGTGGACCACAAAACACGAATATAAGCAGATACGAACAAGTCACACTGCTCTATGCAATAACGTACTTCCAAAACGATGGTGGGTTTACTGGCCTATTGTCATTGATGGAGTGAAAATTGAAGTATCTTACCTACTGAACCAGTTGAAGATATTTGGAAAAGATATACATAACGCCACTATCGAGCTGATACATATAATTACAAGTGCCTACTTAAGGAAATACACCCCTCCTACACGTGTACCCCTGGGCACACAACCAACTGAGCAACAGACACTTGAACTTAGGGCCCTTAATAGACTTGCTGAAGACGCAACGGTCTCCCGCTGTGGGCTCATTCGAATTCAGCGGGTACAGAACTTCTGTACAGTTCATTCTAAGCTACATGGACCAACATGGGCTACGCATAGACAAACTGAGCGGCAAAGAGTTATGGAGCATCATGCTCCTGCAGGAAAGCAACGAGACAAACACAGCCACTGCAGTAAGTGCAGGGCCAGACAGTGGGAAAACAACAACAAGAATAAAAATATGTGGAACCGTAACGGAAACACATGTAAATGACACACTTCACAAAATCGTGGACGAACTATTTTCTGAAGTAAAAATGCGACTGGATACATACAATTCAGGAGGAAAAATATTTCTCTGCAACTCACAATAACCGATCTGAGCATGAAACATATTGATGTCCGCAACGCCACAGCTGCAGACATATAAGATATTTATTGTTAACTGTACACTATGCAGAAAACATTAGCCCAGAAATAGCATGCGCACATAAAGACGAGATTGTTACATTAAAGTTGATCTGTAGTACCTGAAGACAAACGAAGAACGTGACAATGGAAATTTGACTGCCGATATATATGAAATTTCATTACAGTTCATTGCAGAAATTATGAAAAACAGAATATTAGTATGAATAATTTAACAATATCTGTACTTTCTGTATAATCCTCCAGATATATATGGGACATGAAGGAAGCTCCATCACTGTAAATCCTAAACCGCCTGGTGAACTTATCGTCAGCCTGGAAGAGGTACTGCAGATCCTCAAGGCACAAGGGAGCAATGCCACAGGAGCTGTTGATATGTGGGTATATCATCCCATTCCAATACATCAAACTTATTCTAAAGGCGCGAAGAATCGACCCTCAGAATGTAAGACGAGAGGAGCTCTGGCTCATAAGAGAGTTGTATATAGAGTTTCAGCAGCAGTCGGAGAAGGCTGAAACAGGTCTTTAAGCAGTACTGAAAGTCTTCATCGAAATTCTGGAAACACTCAGAATGTTAATACTTCTATTCTTGTGGTGGATGGACACAGTGTGTCCATAAGCGAGATCGTGTTTGCTCTGGGGTTAAAAATTGCCAACTTAACAGGCAAATATGACACTGCAAACGTTACCACTGCCAAAGTGTTGAGAGCCGTTATATAACTCTCTATATATACATATAGAGAATTATTTTTAAATTTTTCGCGTTCACGGTTCACGCTTCACCGCAACAGGCGCACGGTTGATTAATGGTTAACTGAGAACAAATGTTTCATGGCACTGATAACAACTGCCTACTGCTGACAAATCATAAACTGACTCCACATGCATGAGCTGCACTATCAGTCCTGTAACATAATGCTGTTTACAGCTCTACACGTTATTTTCTTTCATTCAATACACTATCGGCCGTCAAGTATGTTGAGTCACAGGCAAAATTTTAATGCGTTTCGCTGCTGGCAACGAACTGGTCGCGGTGAAGTGCAGTGCCGTGAACTCGCCAATGTCACTGAAAATGTCAACGTATATTGTCAAGTGTTTTAGTAATTATAGACCATTTACAAGTCATAACTGCAAATAAGTATAACTCTGTTAATGATTTTTACCCTACAGTTCGCTTCACGCTAGTCTTCCCAGTCCCTATTCAAAAGTCTTCAAACCCGTTTCCCGGCAACGGATCCATAACTCACGAAATACAAAAGTCTCACAGAGTCACACACTCTCAATATCACTGTACCACAGCGCATATAGCCTTCATATCACAGTTAAACCTTCACGGGCCCAGTTCCTGTACCCCTCTGTACCTCTCCAGGTTACTGCTGTAATCCTGCAGACAACTACTGAACTCAACCTGAGTCTGAGCCTTATGTTACGACTGACGGTCAGTCAGCCAGGCTGTCTTCGAAAGAGGAACCCGTCTGCCGCTTATGACCACATCTTTATTGCTGCCGGACAGTTGTGTGTTTCTTGATATGGGTCGCTGTCTCTGACGAGAGGAAAGGTCATTACCAAGAAAAACATATCACGTGATCGCTATATCGCTAGTTCATGGGTGCGCTGGCTGTGGCGTAGCAACGAGGTGAAAACGAGCGATGTGTAAAGTTTCACCCTGAGAACTAGCGGTGATAGAATTTTGATTCTGACATAAGAGGTGGAATGTAGTTTCATTCTGAGTACAAACCAGTGTGTCCGTGAATTTGCATCATGAGATTCAAGTGTGCGTGATGTTTTCTTCTGAGATTGAGCAATACGTGAATTTTCACCGTGAGACTAAGCGGGCCGTGAAGATTCATTCTGAGGCCGGTGTGTGCGTGAAGATAAATCCTGAGATTGAGGGGTGAGTGAACTTTGATTCTTAGTTTCAGCGATGCATGAGGTTTCAACCTGAGTCTAAACGGTGCGTGAGGTTTGTTTGTGACACAAGAGGCTATGTGAAATTTCATTCTGAAACCAAGGATTGCGTGAAGTCTCACCTCAAGACTGAGCAATGCGCGAAGTTTAGTCGGGACTGAGAGGAGTGTGAGGTTTCTTTCTGAGACGAGTGTCTATGTCAGGTTTCACTTCGAGACCGAGGGGTACGTCGATTATAAAATTTTCCGACACTATACCCTAAACGTCCATCTATCTTTGTTTCGTGCCCAGGGAAACTCCCGGTTCTTGTTCGTGAATCTTCAAATCGGCCCTAGATCACATGTCTCTATCTCGAACGTATTAAATTTGTCTGCCCACAGAACAGTATCTTTCTTTTTTAAGGATAAACCTTTCCTACTGCCAAGTTATCGGGCAGCCAGACATTCCTCCAGAACTCGCCGTCTATCGTGTCATTATCATGAACTTACACGTGTATACTAAATATGCATACCAGACGGATGGTTTATCTACATGTACTGACCTTCAAGAACATGGGAAGTATGACGTTACCTATTTCCGTAAATACGAAACTTCGTGCGTGTCGCATAAAACTGGTGATAAGGGCAACTAACCCCTTAAATACGGACGTCCTCCCATTTGAGCAATCATCGTGCTTCAAGCTTTCAGTGTTCGCAGAGGAAGAGCGCTTCAGCAACATGGGCACCTTAACATGGACAGTGAGTACCCGTCAAGTTTCTTACAAATAAAATGCAATAGCGTAAATAAGCGTAATTTCTTGAGTACTTTATTTTCTGGTACGTCAATTTAAAATCGCATTTCACGGTCATTCGTAATAATTCTCCTGGGCCAGCTCCGTTACGAAGGCATCTAGTCAGATTCCATGGAACGTAATTTTTATTATAAATTTAACAGTCGCTCAGCTACTCAAGAATTCTTCGGCCATTTACAGAACCCGAAGCTTCATTACCATGTTCACAACAGCCCGCTACCTGACTGCTGAATCCAATCCACACCCTCTCAGACATTACTATAAAATACATTTTAATATTATTCCACATTTGACACAATGTCTCCTAAAGTATTACTTTCAGGTGAAGCATTCCAACCAAAATGTTGTATGAACTGACCACTCGCCTCTATTCAGTGCGGAGGTAAAGAATTCTCCAGTACGTCTAAACGGCATAGTTCTCAAATAATGAAGGGCAAGGACAAATTTACATTTAACTCCGGGTGAAAGTCTGGATGTTACCTTGGATTAAGCCCCGACAGCTTCCTTCCCTATCCTCTTCAATTCATTATTCACCATCGGTTTCACATTCTACGCTACATTGTCTGGACTACTCAGGTAACCGTCCAATATTTAAATCAAAATTCGTAGCTGGAAATGTCATGAAGTCGTTGCCGGGTTTATAACAATTCCTGTATCATTCAACGTATAACAATCCTGGGACTCCGTAAGGCTCGCGATACATGTTCACTGGGAACGAGTGGCGTTGCCTCTTCTCTCTCCATTTTCTGTTCGACACATTCTTCTCTGCGCTACAACATTCTGGAGCGGGTCAACAATGTTCGGTGACACTCCAGAACAACAAATTTCATGACAATATGTTCAGAGGTTCTCAATTTGCTGCATCTAAACACACGGACATGCAGAGGTTTCGAAGACAGGGCAGGAACATTTGCAACTAATAAAAGAATTTCGTGGTTTTAGTCCGCAAGCGAAACATACCGACCGTGACCACCGCTTATCGGCCAACTTAATGTCAAATTTCCCGATACAGGGTGTCGCGTGGTCAGCGCAAAGGATTCCCACGGCCGTTAATCTCGGTTTTCTAGACCGGAGCAATAACCTTTCCACTCAAGTAGCTCCTCAATTATCCTCACAAAGCTGAGTGAACACTGTTTCAGACCCACTACTTCTCAAAATATCTGGTAGCGCCTGAAATAGAACACAGGACCTCAGGATCTGTAGTCAGGAACTCTGACCACTGGACCACAGTATTTTGAGAGATGTCTCCGTATCCTAAGAAGTGGCTTTGACCTTCCTTTGAGGAGATCCGATGCTTCTAGGTGTTTGACTGCAATTTCCTGATTTATACTCAGAGATATTTGACATTTGCAACTTATGTGTGCAAATATTTGAAAACGAGGCCCTCACAGTTGTCATCAAGCGGTATCACAGTTCAGACAGATTTATGATGTGTTGTACTTGTACTTCGGATCAGCTAAACCAGAAATATACACAAGGGTTCAACTCCTCGGCACGTGACCGGCGATTTACCACCGGGTGCCCATTCCATGTGGTGGGTCAGGGCGCTGTACAGAAGATAGGAGGGGTGCAGATAACTCGCAGTCGGGGGAGGAGGTTTACGCTGTTGTGAAAGAGTAGAAATAACTCCATGGCGCATATATACTGCAATGTATTTAGATTATAGTTTCTTGTTCTTTTTTTAATTCGCTTAGTGGGGGGTGGAGTCCAGCTGGGTCCACTCGGCACGGCGGCCACAGATTGGCCTATTGTAGCCTGCCCCGGGTGATTATGATGATGGAGAATTTGATGGAATAAAGATTGGCAGGGGAAACCGAAATACTAGGAGATAACCCGCCCCAGCGCCACTTTGTCCACCACAAATCCCACTTGACCAGACACAGGATCGAACCCGTGCCGCCGCCGTGGGAAGCCAACGACTAACCGCTTGAGCTATGGCGCGGCCTTATTCTTCTTGGTTACTATATCTTGTAGTCTAATAGATTTCGGAGGACATTACTGCCTCCTTTTAAGGGCGAATATTCTAATCCTGACAAACGTTCTGGTTTTACAGGTTTGGCTGTTACTCGCCTTCATAGCATTGGCCAGTAACTTTGAAGTTGGAGAGGCCTATATTCCTGCAAACACCAATATCAGAACCAAATACCTCTGTGATTATATAGACCGCCGTTTCAAGTCGCCCTGGCCGTCAGTTTGCGACCCACCAAAATAAATATTTAAATCATCCTGGCGACCGGCATTTATAAACCTACTACACTAACTTCTGCACTGTTCACTTTAAAAATTAATATAAAATCTTCTAATTAATTTTATGAACTAAAATTTTTAAAGAACACATACCAATGCTCTTAGAAGTGCTTGAGAGCAACAGGCAGCACATTAGTGTGCAAGCTCTAGGTAGTGCACTAGTCTACACATCGACAGTGCAACAGGGAAAGACGACACACACAGCCTTACTGTGGATCAACAGTTTGAAACAATCCAGCAGTTCGTAAGCACCGCGCAAAACGCAACTACATAATGTTTACTGAATCATAAACAAGAGGAGAGACAATATTTCTTCTATCATGAATTTCCGCTGCATTCCTGGGTTCTTAGGAAGATATGGGGCCTACTGACGTCTTTTATTTCATGGTCACCTACAATTTATATTTGTAAGGGGGACGGTTCACTCTGTCACTTCAGAATGGGAAAGGTTTCTTCCATCTGACGTCACACACAGAATACGCTGTTCGGAGTAGAAGAGGCACTTCCAGGGGCAACACAGAAGCATCGGTTATCCACAAGATATCACCATCAGATATAAGGATCTATCTTGAGCACTCCTTTACGTGCTTCCCCCAGCCCCCACAATTACTTGGTGGCATTCCTATTCACGCCTATGCTTCCCTTCCTCTCAGATAATTCCCCCTCTACTTCAGTACACATTTTCCTTTACAGTTATTTTAGTCTCCAGGTTTCCAGCAAATTTCTTGCAAGAAAGTTTCTGTGTATCTCTTAATATTTATTGTTTTATCCTGTTGTGGGTTATCATATATTGTACTCTTAATGTATCAGTCAATACAATAATTCTACAATAAACAAAACAATGTTACTGCATTAATATTCCTTTACTGTGTGAATTATTGCTGCATGTTTCCACCCTGTCGGTTCATCATCAGGCAATCATTATATGAATATGTCACTCCTCATTGGATATTTTACCAACATGGACCCAGATTGGTGATTTATAAACTTCAGTTCGATTTGCATTATAATTGTAACAGTTAAATTTATATTACAATTTTCGTTTAAAAATAAATTTTAATTAGCATAAACATTATGTACTCCTGAATATCTTTCTGGCGTAATGACGCGTGCCATATTGTTTGGGGCCTTCCTGGGGCTCGGCACTCATCTGTGTAACTCCTAAATATATACTGTTGTGCGGTGATCCCCTACGCAATAATATTGCTTCTTCATAAAAGTTGCAGTGGCTGTGCTGGAACTCTTCAGTGTGTTATGTTGTGTCATATACGGGAGTGCCCCGTCTTCCTGCTCGGTCCGTCTGGTTGCGATTTGGAAACTGAAAGACACGGCTGACACAGGAAATGCAAGGAACAGACCCATACGAAACGCTTAACCAAACCGATCAGCCAACCCAGTTTCGCAGTTTCTCCCACCTGGGTCCCCCTCATTAACAACGATGCTACACACTCACAGAGTTCTCTGTGACGTGACAGATCCTTCGTGCGTTGCGATAAGCTAATAATCTGGAGTGTTTAGTTTTTACTCCGCAGATGGCGTTAGCAGAACGCACTACATGTTTTCACAAATTCCCCAATTAATTCTGCACATTGGTGTTCATGGACACGGTTTGTTGCCTACGTTCCTAGCAAAAATTCTCAACTCCCTTCTTACCACAGTTCCACGAATGTGCGAGCTTTATTACGATGATCATTGCATATTTCCCGTTACCTTCCTTCGAAATAGCCTGGTCTCATGTATTTAAATAGCTGTAATGAATGTGACAGTAACATTTTAATGTTTCCACCGTAGTCCTGAAATTCGTAAAAGAGACGAAAAAGGATCCCCTTTTCTGGGGGTATAACTAGGCCACATTGTTCCTGGAAGACTTTACTGCGGTTTCCTCGCCCTCCAGGTTAGGGGAGTCCTAAATCTGAGACAGTAAAATGTGGTCATGAGTCCCGAGGGACTCGGAACTGGGAGTAATCCCGCTGGGGAGCACCAGCAGAAATTGCAAACCAAAGACCCATCATCTCATCACAGTGGCTCACTGCCTTCGCTCGCTCTGATGCTGGGATTTTGGGTTCCAATCCCATTGAAAACATGGATGTTCTATGTGTATATGTGTGTGTGTGCGTTTACTCCGTGTATGTGTTGTCCTGTGTTTACGTTGCGGCCTTGTGACGGGCTGATAACTCATGCAAGGTGTCCTACCGTGTGAAAATTGATTACCGAACTAAATAACAGGGCCATGAATTGTCTGGAAGAGCCATTAAAAAAAGTGAATTTATCGAATACATGTTCCAGTTACTCGTAGAACCTGTACTTCATACCACCAAGTTTATCCACTGTTGGGACATTAACATTCAGAACAATGATATCACAACAGCGACCTCTTAGCATTACGTAGGGCATCTTATCACTAACAAACTCGGCCCTCTTAAATGTTATATGGTTCTCTTGTGTACATAGAAACTGTACCTAATTCCTGATTCTCATTTCCGTTTCCACAGAAAAATGAACGCGTATATTTGCCTGCTGTTTCAGAGCTACCTCTGTCACATATGCTCTTCTGTGCTCTCGTTAAATATAAATTCTGTTTCGATGTTTTTCGAAACTGTGATGGGCGAACCTGCCCTCTACAGACTTCTTACGGTCCACGTACTGAATCTCATATTCAGTTTTCTTACATTAGATAGTGAGTCAAAGAATCCGTAACAGGCATATTTTTAGTGTGACTAGTTTTTGGCCCCATGTTCAACCCCCAAGCTGGAGAAACACCCATTGTCTGTTGTCTGCGTGTCCTTATTCACTATACTCGACGCTGCCCTCCATATCTGGACGCCTACTCCATCTGAAACCTGAGAGGGCGCCATGCCGTGGTTACGAGGGACCCGCCTAATATGGACTCGTAAATACATCCTTATACAGAGTTATTTTTAAAATTGTCGCGTTCACGGATCGACACGTCACCGCAACCGGCGCACGGTTGATTAATGGTTTACTGAAAACAAATGTTTCATGGCACTGATAACTACTGTTTACTGCTGACAAATCATAAACTGACTCCACATGCATGAGCTGCACTATCAGTCCTGTAACATAAAGCTGTTTACAGCTCTACACGTTATTTTCTTTCATTCAAAACACTATCGGCTGCCAAGTATGTTGAGTCACAGGCAAAATTTTAATGCGTTTCGCTGCCGGCAACGAACTGGTCGCGGTGAAGTGCAGTGCCGTGAACTCGTCAATGTTATTGAAAATGTCCCTGTATATTTTCACTTGTTTTAGTAATTTCAGACCATTTACAGGCTATAACTGCAAATAACTATAATACTGTGTAAGATTTGAGGCTTTCACGGCGGTGACTATGAAGAAAGCAGTCTTCTGGGATTTGGCACCGTGAATATGTGGTGTTAACCGACATAGCTGTGTATANTGTAACGTGTTTTCGTTACTGATCCCACTTCTGACACCAATGTAACGTGTTTTCGTTACTGAAGACGCCGTAGAGATGGTTAATTGGTTTATTTAACAATCTACAAATAACGGCTACAATTACTTATCACAGTTGCGGGGTTTCACACTTTATAACCCTAAGCGCATTAATCTGTCGACACTGTTGCGGGGTTTCACGACTTATAACCCTATGCGCAAATCAGTTCACTCTGTCTTCAGTAGTCTACACGTTTACCGTAGTGTCAGAAGTGGGATCAGTAATCTGATTTTACTGATTTTACTCTACAGAACACTCCGTCCTATTCTTCTCAGTCCCTATCCAATCCTCACACCCGTTTTCCGGATCCATAACTCACGAAACACATAAGTCTCGCTAAATCACACACGCCCAATATCACGTACTACAGCGTACATGGCCTTCAGATCACAGTTAAACCTTCACAGGCCCAGTTCCTGTACCCCTCTGTACCCCTCCAGGTTACTGTTGTAATCCTACCGACATCTGCTGAACACAGTCAGAGCCTTTGTTATGACCGACGGTGAGTCAGCCAGGCTGTCTTCAAACAAAGAACCCGTCTGGGGCTTATGACCATATCTTTATTTCTGTCGGAGAGTTGTGGCTTTGCTGATATGGGCCGCTGTCTCTGACGAGATGACGGGTCACCCGCTTTAAAATGCTGCTGGCCGTCGCCAGCGCAATTATTCTCGAGTTCGAGTACCGTGGGACTAGCGACCACGTTTTAGTGTCTCAGATTCGTCGCCTCCTGAAACACGCAGGGCTACGATGATCCAGGCAGTTAATTCCTTCGCAGGTTGTGTGGCCTAGCAACGAGCTGAAACCGAGCGATGCGTAGAGTTTCACCGTGCGAACAAGCGGTGACAAAAGTTTGATTCTGAGAGAAGAGGTTGCATTTAGTTTCATTCTGAGACCAGCGTGTGCGTGAAGTTGCATCATGAGATTGATCAATGCATGAAGTTTCACCCTGAGACTAAGCGGACCGTGAAGTTTGATTCTGAGACCAGCGTGTGCGTGAAGATAAATCCTGAGATTGGGGCATGAGTGAACTTTGATTCTGAGATTCAGCGATGCATGAGGCTTCACCCTGAGTCTAGGCGGTGCGTGAAGTCTTACCTTAAGACTGAGCAATACGCGAAGTTTAGTCGAGACACAGAGGAGTGTGTATGTGATGTTTCACTTCGAGACCGAGCGACACGTCGATTATAAAATTTTCCGACACTGTACCCTAAACGTCCATCTATCGTTGTTTCGTGTCCAGTGAAACTCCCGGTTCTTGTTCGCGGATCTTCAAATCGGCCCCAGATCACATGTCTCTATCTCGAACGTATTAAATTTGTCTACCCACAGAACAGTATCTTTCTTTTTTAAGGATAAACCTTTCGTACTGCCAAGTTATCGGACAGCCACGGAATTCCTCCAGACCTTGCCGTTTATTATGTCATTATCTTGACCATATGCGCGAATACTCACAATTTGCATACCAGGCGGTAGGTATATCTATCTTCAATATTAGCTATTTTCGTATATATGAAACTTCGTGTGTGTCGCAGAAAAATGGAGATAAGGGCAACTAACAACTTAAATATGGACGTCCTCCCATTGGAACAATCATCGTGCTTCAAGCTTTCAGTGTTCGCAGAGGAAAGCGCTTGAGCAACATGGGCACCTTAACCTGGACAGTGAGTACCCCTCAAGTTTCCGATAAATAAAATACAATAGCGTAAATACACATAATTTCGTGCGTGCCTCATTTCCTGGTACTTCGATTGAAATTCGCATTTCACGGTCATTCGTAATATTTCTCCTGGGCCAGCTCCGTTACGGAGACATCTATGCAATTTCCATGGAACGTAATCTTTCTTATAAATCTAACAGTCGCTCAGCTACTCAAGAATCCCTCGGGCATTTACACCCCCGAAGCTTCATTACCACGTTCACAAAAACACGCTACCTGACAGCTGAATCCAATTCACACCCTCTCACACACTGCTATAAAATACATTTTAATATTATTCCACATTTGACACAATGTCTCCTAAAGTATTACTTTCAGGTGAAGCATTCCAACCAAAATGTTGTATGAAACTGACCACTCACCTCGATCCAGTGGGGAGGTAAAGAACACCGGAGCCATACCTCCACTCCCCAGTACGTCTTCACGGCTTAGTTCTCAAATAATTAAGCGCAGGGACAAATTTTCCTTTAACTCCGGGTAAATGTCTGGATGTTACCTTGCATTAAGCCCCGACCGCTTCCTTCCCTATGGGTCATTACTTGTAAAGTCATTCAGAGGGGTCGCTCACCATTAAAAAAAATCATATTCTGTACACTAATTTCTATATATTTTCACACTTCAAAAATATTTAGAAAAAATGTAACCCGCTCGGTTCTGCCGGTACAGCCGCTTTTACAGTGCGAAAAAACGCGTTTTGGGCTCAAATGGAGGTTTGCGTTATCTCCCATATCTCGATAACTATTGAAGCTAGAGACTCCAATGAGAAACTAATTTGCGCCTCTCGATATGTACTATAAATCATGTCATTATAAGGTTTTACTCAACTCATTTCCTCTAGGTGAAATTAAGCTCAAAACCTACCTACAGATTTTGGGAAAGACGCTATTTTCGACCTTCAAAAACCAATGGGAGGGGGAAAGTATCAGATCTGTTATTTCTTCCCTCTGTTGTTTCCTACATGGGGAATACAATCACATAGGTTGAACGCCGTGCCTAGTTCCAGAATTTTCCAGGAGTCTTCAAACTTTGCTATGGGCCAAAATTGGTCATTTTTAACATCTCATATCTCCGGTGGAGAAGCTCCGAGAAATTTGAACTTCACAACAAATAATGCCCTTTTCTAGAGTAACTTTTTTATTATTATTTATTTGATTGCTAACTTGCAATCTACTCTAGTGACAACAGAGCAATAAGTAGATGTTCGGGCGCCGTAGTAGCTTGTGATTACCATCCACTGATGGGTCTTCACGCGTCGCCTAGATTAGGTCTTCTGGCCAATGACGTTGGTGTCTTCTGTTCGCCAGGGGTTGGGCGGCGAGTTCATTTATTAGATGGTTGTCGTGGTCAACGATGCGATCTCTATATTTGATGGCTTTTTTGCTGATGACTTCCTTTGTGAAGGGTATTCCGAGATCTGCATGTAGGGTTTGATTTGATACGAACCATGGTGCGTTTGTTATTGAGCGTAACATTTTTGACTTGAACGGTTGTAAAACTTTCGTATTTGAGGGTTTACTGTATCCCCACAGGTCAATCCCATATGTCCAGATGGGTTTTGATATTGTTTTGTAGATTAGGAGTTTATTTGCCATTGACAGTTGGGAGTTTTTGCCTAGTATCCAATTCATATTTCATGCTTTTGTTGTTAACTGCAGTTTCTTAGCTTAGATGTGAGCTTTCCATGTTCGATAGGTAAGTTTCGAGCTTAATTAGACCTAGAGGAAGTGAGTTGAGTGAAAACCTGTAATTACATGATTGTTGTCCATATCATGAGGAACACATCTGTTTCTTATTGGAGTCTCTAGCTTCAACAGTTATCGAGATATGGGAGATAATACAAACCTCCATTTCAGCCGAAAACGCGTTTATTCGCATTATAAAAACTTTGCTATTAGTTGAATATGAAAGTTGTAATTTTAATTCCATGTTACTCTACAATAGAGCATTATATTCTATGAGTTTCAAAATTTTCGGAGATTCCTCACCGGAGTTATGAGATGTTAAAAATTGCCGATTTTGGGCCCAGAGCAAAGTTTGCAAGCTCCTGGAAAATTTTGGAAAATAGGTACGGGCTCAAAAACTACGTGATTATATTCCCCATGTAGGTTAAAAAGGGTAGAAACCAGAGATTTGATACTTTCTCCATCCCATTCGTTTCTGAAGGTGAAAAATAGTGTTTTCCCCTAAATCGATAGGTAAGTTTCAAGCTTGATTATACCTAAAGCAAGTTAGTTGAGTAAAAACTTGTAATGACATGATTTGCAGTCCATATAATAAGAAACAAATCTGTTTCTTATTGGAGCCTCTAGTTTCTTTAGTTATCGATTTATGGGAGATAACGCAAACCTCCATTTGAGCCGAACACGCGTTTTTCCGCACTATAAAGACGGTTGTACCAGGCGAACCGAGCGGATTACAATTTCTTAAAAATATTTTTGAAGTGTGAAAATATGTAGAAATAAGTGTACAAAATTTAAAATTTTTTAAAAATGGTGAGCGACCGCTCTGGATGACTTCACACGGAATGACCACTATCCTTTCTAATTCGTTATTCACCATCAGCCTCCAATTCTACGCTACATAGTCTGGACTACCCAGGTCACCGTCCAATATTCCTCCAAAATTTAAATCAAAATTCGTAGCTAGAAATATCATGAAGACCTTGCCGGGTTTATAACAATTCCTGTATCATTCAACGTATAACAATCCTGGGACTCCGTAAGGCTCGCGATACATGTTCACTGGGAACGAGTGGCGTTGCCTCTTCTCTCTGCATTTTCTGTTCGACACATTCTTCTCTGCGCTACAACAGTCTGTAGCTGGTCAACAAAGTTCTGTGACACTCCAGAACAACAAATTTCATGATAATATGTTTAGCGGTTCTCAATTTGCTACATCTAAACACACGGACAGGCACAGATTTCGAAATCAGGACGGGCATTTTTGCAACTTATAAACAAACTACGTGGCTTCTAGCCCGCAAGCGAAACATTCCGACCGAGCGATCGCCTTTTGACGGCGAGGTTAGTGTCAATATTTGCTGATACGGGGTGAGACGTGGTCAGAGCAAAGGATTCCCACAGCCGTTAAACTCAGGTTTCTAGACCAGAACCTCTATTTCCTTCAAATAGCTCCTCAATTATCCTCACGAGGCTGAGCGGATCCCGTTCCAGACCCACTACTTCTCAGAAAATCTGGTAGCGCCGGGAATCGACCCAAGACAAAGTTCTGTGACACTCCAGAACAACAAATTTCATGATAATATGTTTAGCGGTTCTCAATTTGCTACATCTAAACACACGGACAGGCACAGATTTCGAAATCAGGACGGGCATTTTTGCAACTTATAAACAAACTACGTGGCTTCTAGCCCGCAAGCGAAACATTCCGACCGAGCGATCGCCTTTTGACGGCGAGGTTAGTGTCAATATTTGCTGATACGGGGTGAGACGTGGTCAGAGCAAAGGATTCCCACAGCCGTTAAACTCAGGTTTCTAGACCAGAACCTCTATTTCCTTCAAATAGCTCCTCAATTATCCTCACGAGGCTGAGCGGATCCCGTTCCAGACCCACTACTTCTCAGAAAATCTGGTAGCGCCGGGAATCGACCCAAGGACCTCAGGAACTCTGACCACTAAACCACAGAATTTTGACAGATTTCTCCGTATTCTAAGAAGTGGTTTTGACCTTCCTTTGAGGAGATCCGATGCTTCTATATGTATCATTTCAGTTTCCTCATTCATTCGCAGAGAAATTTGACATTTTGAACTCTGTGTGCGAATATTTGAAAACGAGGTCCTCACAGTAGTCCTATAGCGATATCACAGTTAAGACAGATTTATGATGGGTCGTGCTTGTTGCATCCCGCATGCAAATGAATGTTACAAGGACGTAAGAAATGTATTACTGAAGTTCGGCTGAGCCAGCTGAATACTGGAGGGGGTGAAGTCCCTGCTTGGCCATGCTGTTCACCTGGATTCTAGTGCAAGATAAGCTCAGCTTGTGCTTAATTAAGCATTCCACCATAAACATGCATGGGGGAATGGAGATACTGCTCCACGCACGCTTATCCTACGCACGTAACCAGCGATTTCCTCCCAGGGACCCATCCCACCCGGCGGTGCAGGGCGCTGTCCAGAAGGAAGGAGGGGTGCAGGTAACTTGCAGCCGGAGGGAGGTTTACACTGTTCTGAAAGGGTGGAAATATCTCCATGGGGTAAACATACTGCAGTGTATTTAGATTGTAGTCCTCTTTGTTAATACATCTTGTAGTCTAATATGTTTCGGAGGACATTACTGCCTCCTTTTCAGGGTGAATATTCCAATCCTGACAAACGTTCTGGTTTTACAGGTTTGGCTGTTACTCGCCTTCACAGTATTAGCCAGTAACGTTGAAGCTGAAGCGGTCCCTGATTATATAAGAGACGATGCCGGAGTGGGATATCTCTGTGGGTATAGAGATGAAGTTAAACAGGGACGCGGTCCTAAGGCGGAGCTGTCTTGGGAGCAGAACATCACTTTACAGTGCATGTATGACTATTTAAGAATCCAGATATATTTGTCGGTGACGGGCGATTTTACGTTCAACGGGCAGCGCATTCCGGTAGACTTCATAGTGACAGCTGCGTACATCGACAAGAAACTCATTTATGATATAACGGTGGAAGATCTGTGGGAAAAAATACAGCTGTACGAGTATTACGAGAAGAAAGCGGAAAGTGAACCACGAACCCGGGACATAAGCAAGTACGAACACGTCACAGCGCTCTTTATAAAAACGTGTGTACAAAAGAGGGGAAGCACTACGGGTCGAGTTTACGTGGAAGGAGAGACAGCTGAACTGAAAAAGGTGTTTCGCAGGTCGAGTCAAATTAAAAACGCCACGACTTCGAATATAATCAAAAAAATAAAGACAAATCCAATAAAATACGAATCTTTTGAAAGGATAATGCCAATTTCCGCAGTAGCATATGTCAAAGACGAACTTCCAGTCATACTAAATTACCTGCGGTCGCAAGGTTTCAACGCTACGGGCACATTCGTATTGCGCGGACACAGAATATCTCTACAGTTCATTGAATGGTATCTGGTCCAGCACGGAAGTGTCTATAGAATAACGACGACTGCATTGTTGTATCGCATCATAACGTCTTACCTCCCCGAAACTGAAGAATTTAATGCACTGCCTAAGAAAGAGAAGGCGGTCCTGCGGGACATACTGAACTATCTGAAATTCCTGGGCGATGGTGCGAGAGGTGAAGTGACGTTCAAAAGCCACACACTCTCAATAGACTTCATAATGACTGTCGTGCATTTGCAAGGCGCAGACATATATTCACTGACGTTGTCAGATCTGTGGCAACTAATAAAAATGCATGAAGTTTATGAGAAGAAACTTGGAAGTGAAACACAAAACCGGAATATTAGCAAGAATGAACAAGTCACACTGCTCTATGCAATAACATATTTGCGAAACAATGGAGGGATTACGGGTCAAATTGTCATAGATGGAGTGAAAATTCCAGTGTCTTACCTACTGAACCAGTTGATATTTGGAAAAGATTTTCATACCGTCACTATGGAGCAGTTATATATAATTACAAGTGCCTACTTAAGGAAATACACCGCTCCTACACGTGTACCCCTGGGCACACAACCAACAGAGGAACAGACACTTGAACTTAGGGCCCTAATAGACTTGATGAAGACGCAACGGTCTCCCGCTGTTGGCTCATTCATATTCAGCGGGTACAGAACTTCTGCACAGTTCATCCTAAGTTACATGGACCAACATGGACTAAGGATGGATAGATTGAGCAGCAAAAAGTTATGGAGTATCATGCTCCTGCATGAATGTAATGAGACAAACAAAACCACTGCAGTAAGTGCAGGGCCAGACAGTGGGACATCAACAAAAACATAAAAAAAAACAACACTTGAACCCTCTGGATCCGAACTTACAGAACAACATTAAAATGACACCCTTAACAGAATTTTGGAGGAGCCATTTATGAAGGAATAAATGCGACTGGTTACATACATTTCGGGGGGAGGGGAAACATCTGTGTTCAGTTCACACTAACCGATCTGAGCCTGAAATTTATTGATGTCCGCAACGCCACAGCTGCAGACAAATAACACATTTATTGCTATATGTACCCTATGCAGAAACTACTAGACCAGAAATATCATGCGCACCTAAGGACGAGATTGTTACATTACTGGCGACTCTGCAATATTTGAAGACAAACAAAGAAGGTAACAATGGAAATTTTACTAATGATGGATATGAAATCTCAATACAGTTCATTGCAGAAATTATCAAAGAACAAGATGTAAGCTTCAAGAATTTAACAATATCTGAACTCTACCTAATCCTCGATATACATATATATATGTGTGTGTGTGTGTGTGTGTGGAATATGAAGGAAGCTCAATTACTGTTAATCCTAAACCACCTGGTGAAGATATCGCCAGCCTGAAAGAGGTACTGCAGATCCTCAAGGCACAAGGGGACAATGCCACAGGAGCTGTTGAAATCAATGAGTATATCATCACATTCCAATACATCAAACTTATCCTAAAGGCGCGAAGAATCGACTCTCAGAATTTAAGCCGAGAGGAGCTGTCTCATAATAGAATTGTGTATAGAGTTTCAGCAGCAGTCGGGGAAGGCTGAAACAGGTCCTCAAGCAGTACTGAAATCCTTCATCGAAATTCTCTCAAAAACTGAGAGTGTTAATACTTCTGTTCTTGTGGTGGATGGACACAGCGTTTCCATAAGCGAGATCGTGTCTGCTCTGGGGTTAAAAGTTGACAACTCAACCGGTAATTATGACAATGCAAACCTTACCACTACCACATTGTTGAGAGCAGTTCTGGAGGTTATAGGCAAGCAGGGAGCTTCAACCGTTCCCTCTAAAACAGGACATGGAAAGGATGAACTGCTCAAGGAATTCCTTCAAGTCATCTCGAATTCCGACAATGTCGCCAACAGTGTCATTGTGTACAACGGGCAGCACATTAGTGTGCAAGCTCTAGTAAGTGCACTAGGTCTACACATCGACAATCCAACAGGGAAAGGTGACACACACAGCCTTACTGCGGATCAACTGTTTGAAACAATCCAGCAGTTCGTAAGCACCGCGCAAAACGCAACTACATAATGTTTACTGAATCATAATCAAGAGGGGAGACAATATTTCTTCTATCCTGAATTTCCACTGCTTTCCTGGGCTCTTGGGAAGATATGAGGCCTACTGTCGTCTTTCACATCCATGGACGCCTACAATTTATATTTGTAAGGGGGACGGTTTACTCTGTTACTTATTAATGGGAAAGGTTTCTTCCATCTGACATCACACACAGAATACACGGTTCGGAGTGGAAGAGGCAGTTGCAGGGGCAACAGAAAAGCATGCAGTATCCACAACATATAACCATCGGATATAAGGTTCCATGTTTAGCCATCTTTTAGTGCTTCATCCCCAAACCCACAATTCCTCGTTGGCATTCCGATTCACGCCTATGCTTCCCTTCCTCTCGGATAATTACCCCTCCCCTTCAGTACACATTTTCGTTTACAGTTATTTTAGTGTCCAGGTTTCCAGCAAATTTCTTCACTTCGTCATACAGTTTCAAATTGCAAGCAGACAACACAAAATTCTTACGGCTTCAAGTAAATAAATTTTTCTGACGGCTTCACAAACTCCCACACAGTTTATATGTCACGTCTGGAGATCATTCCCACTCCTAACTTTGTCACACTTACACGCGTCTCTCTAGACAACCACAAGCTCTACAGCTTAGAAATTTCGAACACAAATAGTTGAACATTGTCAGCATGTGCCGAGTCTCTTTGCGGGGCCTTCATTCGAAACATTTCCTTTGAGGTGTGAATAAGCAAGCAGCAGACAGACCGAAACAGAGACACGCTTACGTGTACTCGCACAGATGTACGTCTTGGGAACACTCAGTAAAATGCGTCTAAATTTGATAAAATTAGCATGGCGAACATGGCGTTTGCAACCTTTCTTTAATAGCATCCTCATTATCCACCGCTCTCGCTCAGCAGAAACTCACAGCTATGAAACTGGCGGAAACTGGGTACAAAGAATTGCAGCATGGTGCATCCGATACGATGTTTATTCTTGTCAAATAAACACAACAAAATCTGCTACCAAATTAACTGTCTCCGTAAAGGGTAAATATACGTTTGATAGAGAAAGAAACAAATGTTTCCAGGTGCATGCTGAAAGACAAGAGAAGACCGAACCAAACACATTGCAGGGAAAGAATGTAATTTTCTGTGTGCTTCTTTATCTTTATTGTTTGATCTTGTTGTGTGCTATCATATATGGTATTCTTAATGTATCAGTCAATAAAACAATTCTATAATAAACAAAATAATATTACTCATTAATATTAGTTTATTGTGTGAATTATTGCTGCATGTTTCCACCCTGTCGGTTCACCATCACGCAATCATTATATGAATATGTCACACCTAATTGGATAACTTACTGACATGGCTCCATATTGGTGATTTATAAACTCCAGTTCGATTTGCGTTATAATTTTAACCGTTAAATTTAAATTACAATTTTCGTTTAAAAATAAATTTCTAATTAGCATTAACATATACGTAATTTATGTAATCCTGAATATTTTTCTGGCGTAATGACGCATGCCATATTGTTTGGGGCCTTCCTGGGGCTCGGCCCTGGTCTGTGTATCTATTAAATGTATACTGTTGTGCGGTGATCCCCTACGCGATGAACTGTTCTATTTCTTCTTCACAACAGGTGCAGCGGCTGTCCTGGAACTCTTCAGTGCGTTATATTGTGTCCTCCCCCTTGTTCGCTTGGTGTGGTTACGAGTTCGGAAATTGAAAGTCACAGCTGATACAGGAAATACAAGGAACAGACCAATGAGACACGCTTAACCAAACCGATCAACCAACAAAATTTCGCCGTCCCTCCCACCTGGGTCCCCCTCATTACCAATGAGGTTGCCCACTCTCAGAGTTCTCTGTGACATGACTAGGGCCCGGATTTTTTTAAAATGCATATGCCCATATGGAAATGAAGATTTTGAGGGCTTTTGGGTGTTACTGCTTATCATCAACCATCAACAATAAATCTAAACCAATTCTATATGCAGATGACACTAGTATAATATTTAAGAACTCTAAATTTGACAACTTTAAAAATGACATAAATATTGTATTTGAAGCCTTAAACAGATGGTTCGAAGCCAATTTACTCTCATTAAATTTTGATAAAACCCATTACATATCATTCACAACTAAAAACAACCACCAAATTGATCTGGACATCAGTTATGCCAACAAATTAATCTGTAAAGTACTTGATACAAAATTCCTTGGAATACATGTAGACAGTACACTGTCTTGGAAAATACATATTGAACAAATTATACCTAAATTAAATGCAGCTTGCTATGCGATGAGATCAATTAAGCCTTTTATGTCACAGGAAACATTGAAGATGGTTTACCATGCCTACTTTCATTCTATTATGAACTATGGATTAATATTTTGGGGGAACTCTTCACATAGTGTAATAATTTTTAAAATACAAAAGAATATAATAAGAATCATTACAGGATGTAGAAGTAGAGATTCATGTAGAGAATTATTTAAGAAATTAAAAATTCTACCGCTTCAATCGCAATACATATTATCGCTTCTCCTATTTGTTGTTTACAACAAAGATAAATTCAAATTAAATTCTGATGTCTATAACATGAATACTAGACAAAAATATAACTTCCACCTACCCTCATCAAATTTATCAGTATATCAAAAAGGAGTCTACTTTACTGGCATAAAAGTGTTCAACAATCTGCCACAAAGTATTAAAAACTTGGGCAATGATACTAAAAAGTTTAAATCAGAGTTAAAGAATTATCTACATGCTCATTCCTTCTACTCTTTAGATGAATACTTCAATGTAAATAGAGAATGATGTAAAATTAAGTTACATTAATTTTTAAGCTAAAAATTGCCTGTAATTATGTATGTAACCTTTTGACATGTTCTGTATCCAAAGTTACTAACCTGCTTAGGATTTATAGAATGTAAATAAATTCAATTCAAATTCAATTCTAAACGCAAGAGCATATTTCTGCATATATGTTTGGAATTAAGGATAATTTCAATGTTCTCCAACAAAATTGGTTTTGCTTGTGTTTAGGACATCCCTTGCCAGTTGCTATTCTCAACTATCTGAGAAACGGCACTTTTACCACTTACAATACAAGCAGGTAGCTTGGTTATTTCGAAAGGAAGGGGTGGGATTTTCCTGCATTTCTTTGCCCAACACAGCAGAGAGTAGCATCAGAGGGTTGGTCTCGAGAGAAGTCTCTTCAGTTTAAGTGTTACTCTTTACTTTAATAGTCTGCGTCAAAAAAAAAGTGTTCGTGTACTGAAAATGCCTAAAGAAAAGTGTAGCAGTAGATATTTCAAAATTCGGTGGGTGTCTGGTAATAGTGACTATTCAACAGAAGGTGTCGTCGTGTACTGTCAAGTGTGCCCAAAGGAAGTAAAATGTGAAAAGAAATTTCAACTTGAGCAACACTAACGAACGACTGCACATATTGCGGCAAAGAAGGGGAAGAAGAACAGCACACCACAACAGCTACTTCTTACACAGGTCAAACCCAAATCCTCTGTTAATACATTTTCAGCCGATCTTTGTAAGGCTTTAGTAGCAAATTTCGTAATTGGTAAGCTACATCCAGACGAACCCGGCAACCCTCATCTTCTTGCTTGTAAAATACTAGAAAAAACCAACCATTGCACAATAGCAATATTTCTAAATGATTCTCTGCGACTACTAAGGCCATCTGAAATTGAGAATTATTGTTGTAAGGTGGTTGTATTACTAACAGATGCAGCTTCCTATATGTTGAAAGCAGCTAAGGCCTTACAAGTACTTTATCCAAATCTTATACACGTAACCTGTTTAGCGCATGGATTACAGCGTATTGCAGAAAAAATACGGGCACAGTTTCCAGCTGTTAGCGATTTAATTGCAAGTGGGGAGAAACTGTTTCTGAAAGCACCAGCTCGTGTCCAGTTCTACAACAATTGCCTACCTCAGGTTTCTCTGCCACCTGAACCTGTCCTAACTAGGTGGGGGCCATGGATATCAGCAGTTTCATTTTATCTGGAGAATTTCAATCAAGTAAAAGAAGTGGTTACAAAACTTGAAAAGATGAGTATGCATCTGTCCGTGGAGCTAAAGTGGTGTTTGGAAGTCATACTGTTTATCAAGATGTGAATTTTATCCATGCACATTTTTCTACAGTTTCAAAAGCCATTGAGAGCTTAGAATCTTGTGGTGCACGCCTTCACGACTCACTTCACCTCTTTCAGAAAGCAACTTGTTCACTGAATTCCGCTCCAGGCGAAATTAGAGAGAAGACTAAATTCAAGTTAGAAAAGGTGTTGAAATCGAACCCAGGACTAAAAAAGATTCAGTCAATTGGTCAGTACTTGAGTGGAATTTGGGTATCTTTGCCAGATGACTGTTCCGGACCTTCGGCGCCAGTGTATAAATACTGTCCAATCACGTCAGTTGATGTAGAAAGATCATTCTCAGCCTATAAACTCATTTGACGGACAATAGACGCAGTTTGTCTCCAGAACACATTGAAAGACTTCTAGTTTCCTATTGTGATGCTACTATCTGCAGTGAATGATACATGTAAATAGGTGAGTCTGAATAAAGTGACCGTGTTTTTAGTTCATATTTTAAGTGTTTTTAGCGCATAAAGATCCGGGCCCTAGACATGACTGATTTTTTTTGCTTTGCTATAAGGCAATAGCTTCGAGTGTTCAGATTTTACTCCACTGATGGCGCTAGCGGCAGGCACTACATGTTTTCACAAATTTCCCACTCAATTCTGCCCATTGGTGTTCATGGACTTGGTTTGTTGCTTACCTTCTTAGCAAAAATTCTCAACTCCCTTTTAATTCTCTTCCACGAATAAGCGTGTCTTATCACAATCATAATTTCATATTATCATTTGATATGCCTTTGAAATAGTGTGGTCTCAGGTATTTAAATAACTTTAGAAAATCTGACAGTAACAGCGCTGGAATATTAAAATTAATGAAGATAAGACTCAGGGTGTCTACTCTCGTCGTCGTCGTCGAGCGCCTAAGTCTTCTCTCACTCTGATGGACGAAATATTCCACTCGTAAATAGTGCAAAATATGTAGGTATAATCTTCAATAAGAAAGTTGCATGGAGATTGCACTTAGAAATGATCGAAGAAAAGGCCTTCAGAACATTCATTAGAGAATATTCCCTATTCAAAAGTGAGCGATTGAGCGCTAACATCAAAATGATACTCGACAAAGCTCTAATTAGATCCGTAATGACTTAAGCTAGTCCCGCCTTGGAGTTTGCGGCAGACATCCATCTAGTGAAATTGCAGCGCCTGCAAAACAAGGTTCTCCGCACCACTGGCAATTTTCCGAGGCGCACACCGGTCCGCGATTTGCACATGGCATTTAAAATCCCGTACGTATACGACTATTTCACAAAATTATGCAGGAAACAAGCAGAAGCCATACAAAATCATGAAAACGAGAATGTCCGCAACATCGGACAAGGTGAAGCCCGTCACAGAAAGTATAAGAGCCTTAAACTTGGCGGCGGTCAGGCATACGCCCGTTCAAGTGACTAGAATGCCGTGATAGCGATTGCTAATAGAAATAGGGCATAATCTGCGTACTGGGCCTGGACTGACACAAGCCTTGTATATATTGAATACAGAAATAGGAATTGAGATTAAATTGGTAAATATATGTAAATACTGACAATGGTCTTACTAATATAGACAATGACTGACAAATGAAAGAGCCGACCTCTCGTCAGACAGGGCGCCCCAAATGGACAGGACAGTAACCATCATATAAGGAAAAAACAAAGAAAAAAATCTGTTCATGAGCCCCACCCGGGGCTCGAAACCAAGATAGACAGACTGACTGACCGTCAGTCTCAATGTGACTTGGACATTCGAATATTTCCGCCATAGTCCTGCAAGCCGTAGGAACCGACGAAAATGGAACCCATTGTCTGAGGGTACAACAGGGCCACTTTTTACCTGGAGAATATGACTCGGGGTTCCTGGCCCTCCAGGTTGGGAGTCCTAAATCTGAGAAAATAAAATGTGGTCATGTGTCCCGAGGGACTCGGATGTCTCATACGTGCGTGTGTGCGTTTACTCTGTGTTTGTGTTTTCCTGTGTATAGGCAGCGGCCTTGTGATGGGCTGATCCTCGTGCAAGGTGTACTACCGTCTGTAAAATGATTACAGAACTAAATTATGGGTCAGAGCCCTGAATGGGCTGGAGAGCCACTGAAAAAAAAGGGAATTTATGGAATACATATT